ATTTCTTTTAACGCATAAACGAGGCCATCTAGGTCTGTTTAATTAATTGATTAGGAAATAAACAAAGCAAACCATTCCTAATCATATGACATGCAGCAAAGCTCCCTGGCCAAAGCCGAACTGGTCCCATGATACTCGCCTTTAGAACACCAGGCACCCTGAATTTTATTATTTTAAAAACTAGAAATTGAAAGTATTATTGTGAAATATTTTGCCATTAATTGAGGAAAGGTGCAGCCCAGAATTGCTACTGCTGCTTGAGCTTAAAATGAATCATGGTGATATATTTAAGACCTATTTTAGTTGCATTTATATGAAAAATATATCTGATGAATATCAATGTATTAGTCTCAGAAGATTCCACCCCACGAGGGATCCCAGCCCATTTCAGCCCTCGCTTAACTGCCTGAGAGATCTTAAAATATGGTTGAATCAGAACTTTCTCTGTCTTAATGAAAGTAAGACTGAGGTTGTTGTGTTTGGTTGACCTTGGGATTTAAGTGTTTGTTTAGATACTATTGGCACTTTAGGAACGCATAGTCATCCATTTACCAAGAATCTAGGTGTGATCTTCGAACAGTGCTTTTAAATTTGAAAAACAAATTAGTTCTGTTGTAAAAGCCAGTTTCTTTCAGCTGAGACTGTTGACTAGAGTCAATCGCTACCTGCCATGCAAAGACTTTGAAAGAGTAATCCATGCATTTCTAACGTATCGACTAGACCACTGTAATTCTTTGTATGTTGGAGTGGATCAGCCATCTCGCCATCGGTTGCAGTTAGTCCAGAATGCAGCAGCTTGACTTCTAACTGGAACTAAAAAGCTCACTACCCCCGTTTTAGCCTCGCTCCACAGGCTTCCTGTCCACTTTAGTATTGATTTTAAGATTGCTTATTTTTAAAGTTTTAAATGGGTTGGCACCTTCTTATTTATTAGAATTATATATATATATGTATGTAATACACACTCAAAGCACTGAGGTCATCCAATCGGACGCTCCTCGATGTCCTCAGATCCAGGTTAAAAACTAGAGGTGACCGAGCCTTTTCACCAGCTTCCTAATCTTTGGAATACTTTACCTGTTGAAATAAGAATTGCTCGGACTGCTGACAAATCCTTTCTAAATGTGTTAAATAAATAAACTTGAACTTGAACTTAAAACTTTTCATGTATATGTGATTGTAATTTCATTTCATGTAATTGCAGTATTATCTTTTCAAAAAAAACTTGAACATTTAGGTTGTGTTTGCTGTGTGTTTTGCAGCCTGTTGGAAGTGGCCTGGATGTATTTCAAGGCCGGCCAAAGCTGATCGCCTGGAGAGAGCGAGTGAAGAAGGAGGTCGGTGAAAAGTTGTTTGACGAAGCTCATGAGCTGATCATGAAGGTGAGCAGCCTGCCGCAGAAGATGCAGAACAGCGCCGATCTGGAGATGCTCAAACCGAAATTGCAGAAGCTTTTCATCTGAAAACTTTTCTGTGTACAAATTCACATGTCAAATGTTATGTAGCATAATTCCTGTGCAGGTTTGTCAAGAACCAGCTTCCAGGTATTAACATGTTTGGAAAACTGTGCTGTAAACATAACATGATTCGCCCCCAAAAATTATCATGCTATAAAGTCTGAACAAAATCTGAAACTCAACTCAAATCTGAAAACTGTGAAACTGGGCTGGAAATATTCACCAGGACAAATCACGACAAATGTTCTTTACAACAACTCAGTGTTATTTTTATGATCCCTACACCACTAAAAATACTTATAAAAACCAACTGTGTCCATTTGTTTTGTCTACTTTTAAATGGATTTCTGAAATTCAGTTTGTAGATAAACATAAATATGAGGTAACATGACTTACAAGGATGTGAAAAACATGCTGGAGTGAAGGTAAAATATGAACAGGGACATTATAAAGTTTATTATCACACTCCTCATGATATGTTAATCAGGTCAGGTTTGCTCTTAGACACTTCAGAAGGACATACAACTGTTGATAGACAACACACATGCAGTGGTGGAAGGAGTATTTACATGCCTGCACTCAAAATTATACCCAAAGCATTCACTGATACATTGATACATTAACCTGTAAGCAGAAATGGGATGTTGTAGCTGGTGTAGTTGGTGTTGTGTCATACAGTACTGCTGTACTTAAACTATTACACTATAAACTCAATTCAAAAGAGTAAAAAGTGCAATGTTTCCCTCTGAAACGTAGTGGAGTGGAAGTATTAAGTGGCATCAAATGGAAAAAACTCAAGTAAAGTACAAGTTCACCAAAGTAAAGCACTTGAGAATATGTTCTCAGATGCATTCCAGCTCTACACACATGACTGTTGCAGAGAGTGAGTCATTGTTTTCTCAGATTGTCTGAACTGGTCAGTTTTCCTCACAGTGATCCACTTTGTCCTTCTGAGAACAAGAAGATCTTTATCTCCAAGAAAATCAGAAAAAAAGTCGCAAATGGCATACCAGAATTTTTAGGTTTGTTTCCAAACAAGACATGTTCTCAAATGTTTACATCATAGATCATAATCCCAACTTTATTTCTCAGTATGTTCCTCTGTGATGCATAGCCTTGTGAGCGTAGTTCAGATCTCACTGACATCTAGTGCATTTCTTAAGTTATTTCTGTGTAAATCCCCTTTTAGGGAGGTCACTTATGAGCCTGATCATTATTATATTTGATTAATCAATTGAATGAATTGTCACAAATTAGTGAAAACTGCCAATCACAATTTCCCAGAGTGCTTGTTTTATCTCAGCAAAATGACAAAATGATAAAATGCCAACTAAAATAATAGATAGAGAGAAAAGCATAAAATCCTTACATTGGAGAAGCTGGAACCAGAGACTGTTTGGAATTTTTCACTGCCAAATAACTTAAATGATTAATTGATTATCCTACATATCAAATTCGTATGTTATCAACATCTTGTATTTTTTTTGAAAGATCATAACTTCCCCTCGTTTGTCCTGTTTTGGTGGCTGCTGCAGTCTTTATCCAAGACTAAAGCAGTAAGACTACTTGCCTTTGACTTTTACATGAATCAGTGACAATTCTAAAATAGCCACAGAAGTTACATACAGGATAAGGCTGGATTACCAACTGGATGAGCAGGCAACTGACCCATTAACACAAATCCGGGTTTCTGAAACCAGGATACAATGTTTAATATCCTGGTTATGATCAAGTTTTGGGATTGTCCCTGTGATCTGTTGAGCATGTAAACATTATATCCTGGTTTCAGAAACCCGGATTTGTTGCCTGGAGTTGAAAGCAGAATAATGTGGCATATCTAACACCTCACCCAGATTTCTGAACACTCTTATAGGTGCAGATGTTTATATACAGTCTATGGTGCTGATCAGAGTGGCTGAGATGGTGAGAAATCCAGACACTCTTGCAGGCAGACAATCACAAAACTGGATCCCCAGGGTGGAGCTAGACTCTCAGCACAGTAAAATAGCTGATGAAACCATTTGTTATACTGTGTCACTTGTTGATCCAAGTAAGCTTATGAAATGATAAGCCTATAAAACACAAAGAAAAGCCACATTGTCAAACAACTTTGTTTTGAAGAACAAAGAAAATGGCTTGCTAGTCAAGTTAAAATGTTTCAGCACCAAAGAAGACAGTGGTGTGGCATGCTGAACAGGCCAAGTGCACTGTCTCAATCAGTGCCACACTACATAAATGACATATATAAATATATATACAGAACAATCAGTTTGCCCTACCGCTCCACTGTACCTGAGCTATACCAAGACTGACTGAAGCATCGCTTATCTTGGTCATATAGGAAATTTTTGTAACCCTCCTTCAAACCAGGCTGTCAAGGACCATGTCCAATCACTGCACAGATTATTTCTGTTGTGAGAGATCGGTGATGAAAAAGGAGCGGGTCAGTGGGATATTCTTCTTCAGACAAGCAATTGGCTAGGCTGTGCTCTGGACCCATGCTGGCACTGCTGCTGGAACCTGAGGCATCTGCGACTGACCGGGTATCCTCCATCCAGTTGCAGGTGACAATACTCCTCCTCTGGTGAGCTTTTCTGAGCTTGAGCTCTGCTAGCTTCATTACTCATGCTGATAAGTTTGCTGTTTGTTCAAAATACTCGTTACCCTATTAGTACTCTTTGTTTTTTTTTTTAAATGTGCTGGCTCAGAATATATTTTTCTGTTGGTAATTCTTGTGCTGGTATACCGTTGTGACCAGGAGTGAATAGACACCATTTCTCGAATAAGATCAAATACAGGATAAGACTAAGAACCAGGATACTCGTGTGCATGTAAACACAATCAGTATCAAGGTGGGTCTTCCATTATTACCTCATCTTCATCTTCACAGTAGTTTTAAGAGCTTGATTTAGTTTATGTTATGGTGCATATTGCTGAAGAAAGGTGTGCTCTATGAAATGACCATGCAGTCACTGACACACAGAGAACTCGGGACCAGGCACTATTAATCCTTGGAAGAGTCCTGGTTGGTTCCTGGGTCTCTGCAAATAATTTAAACCGGGTTGACAGCGTACAGATTAAGATTTAGTCATCAGACACACAAGTAGAATTTCTTTCAATAGGTCATTTAAACAAAAAAATAAATCACTCTCAGGTAGATATTGCTTCTTAGTTTTTGACCTTTTCATTGTTTTAAACTTTCTTGTGTATTTGTGACACTTTTATTTGTGCTTCCATTTCTATTTTTCATTTATTTATTTTCAGGGGTTTATGTTTTACTTGTCTGGGCTTTACTTGTTTTATTGGTCCTGTGTGATTAAATTGTTGTTTGTTTTACTGGCGTTGTTTTTGAGTAGAGACCCAGAGGACTACTTTGTGGAGGCAAATGGGAATAAATAATAAAGACATATTAAGTAGATTAAAACAGTTGCTTTTCCGTTGATCCTCTTACGTTACAGTAAACTGTGTGTGTGTGTGTGTGTGTGTGTGTGTGTTGCAGCGGCAGTGATTATATTGGACGTGAGAGCAGCTGCAGGAGTCTGGACATGTGACCCTCCACACAGGAAGAGGAGTCAAGAAATGAGTCAGAGATTCCTCCACACGAAAAATCCGATTCACATCCAAGCAGCAGCAGCAACATGCCGGGCTGTGGGGTTCTCGGTCTCTGTCAGTATGAAACCAAGAAGCTGGTCCGGATTCAGAGCGTCCGGCTCGGCTCCCTGAAGTGGACTCTGAACGGATGCATTCTGCTGTTTATCTGGTGAGTGAAACAAGTGACATGTTTCAGCCCCGCAGCGGCTGCCTCTTAATTATTCAGTCAGAACAGGTTCCGTTAAGTCCAGTTAAAGCTGAAACAGATTTAGACAACTACATCGGCTGCCATGTCTGTCAAAGGAGAGGGATGGATACGTTAACCCTGACAATTTTAAGTGGTCATTGATAAGGCTGTTTATTTGTGTTTAAATTAACTGGACTGCCTTTTGAGGATATGCAGCATAAAAAGTCCTTCAAAAGTATGTAAAATTCGTTTAACCTTTTCATCGCTAAATCTGCACACAGTTTGTTAGCTTTGTTTTGTTATTTTATTTTTTTATTTTCTAGTTTTGTTTTATACTGTGACCCCACGGTCAGAATTGAGACACCAGAAGCCAATACGGACCCAGGCTTGTTACAGAGCAAATGATTAATGTGTTAATGGAGGAAATGGTCTGGAGATTAATTGGTTGTGAAAACAATCAGTTGCATCCCTAAACATGACTTTTACAGTCTAAAGGGTCAAGCTACTGTACAAAACATCCTAAATACCCCATAATTCAATTTGATAGATGTATTGAATTTGCTTGAATTGCTAATTTTTATTTTTTATTTTGCAGTATTATGATGCTGTGGAACAGGAAGTACCAGGAGTTCGACCTGGTGGTGAGTTCTGTCACTACCAAGGTAAAGGGTGTAGCTCAGATCCACCTGCCAAACATCGGGGACATGGTCTGGGATGGCGTGGACTACAGCGGGCCCTCACAGGTAGGAGCTTGGTCTTCTGTCCTCTTTGGCAAAGAGGAGAATTTAAAGATGTGGTGTTTTTTGTTTTTTTTCTCCTTTCAGGACAAAAACTCCTTCTTTGTGGTGACCAACATCATAGTGACAGAGAATCAGAGGCAGGGAAAATGCGCAGAGGTGCTTGTTGTTGTTGTTGTTATTATTATTATTATCAATACAAAGATTTAGATGAAAAGTTAGCAAAACTTTCTTATTTTGCAGCAGTGTTTATATTCCAGGTTCCCCTCAAAGGCAGATTGTGTCGGACAGATAAGGACTGTGAGAAAGGAGGCTGGGATCATTTGAGTCACGGTACAGTAACTTCTTCTGTACATTAACATGCACACAGGAAACCAGAGAAGCAAGGTACTGTATGAACCTGGGCCCTGTTCTTCAAATGTGGATAACATGCAGTTACCAGGCTAATACAAAAGTCTTGTTTGCTGTGTTCCTGCGTTCTTACAGATGTTGCTTTTTTCTACATTGTACTCCCCAGTATTTCCACTGCTTTCACTCACAGATTTCCAGTGAATGTGTTTGTGTTCAAATGACAAATTCCCATTTCAATGTCAAATTAAATGCCGAATGTTCTGCCTCCATTGGTCCTTTAACAGTCAGAATCTTTGAGTTGAGTTCACCGTGAAACATCTTTGTCATGGTCCAGCTAGCTGAGCTGCAGTTACTGATAGCAGATTCGGGCTTAAAGACTTGTTCTGACAACATTTCCAGATAAAGAAGAACCAAAACAATCCAGACTCATGTCAAATCGTCAGTTCTAATCTGGATAACTTTGTTATCCACGTATAAAGAACGGGGGCCCTGTTACTGTTAATCCTGGTACAAAAACAGCGGAACTTTGTGAGTTTCAGTTTTGGATGGACTTTAAATGGAGTTATTTTGAATAGGACGATCTCAACACTCTGCTGTCACAGCAAGACTTTCTTTAAGTGTGTTGGTACCAGTTAACACCTGTCTCCACAAGAAGCAGTGGAATTTATCATTCATGTGTTGCAGTTGTAGCTTCAGCCAGTGGTACAGAATCTCTAAGCTCTGTGCTAAATTAAAGTGTTGGTTGATAAACGGACACAGTTAACACCACATCAGCTGCTGCAGAAATCAAACCTACAACTTTTCAAACTCAGTTATGTCTGAATAGAGTTTAAATGCAGCACTGTTCAGTTGTTTGTTTTGTTTTAACTTCTGCAGGGATTCAGACAGGATCGTGTGTGAAGTTTGATGTGTTGCAGAAAACCTGTGAGGTGTCAGCGTGGTGTCCAGTTGAAAACAAGACGAGCCCTCCGAGGTAAACCCTACTGTTTGGTTGTCAGATCAGGGCTGTCATGTCATGAAACATCTCCCTCAGGAATTTAACTTTATGATCCTATTGGCTACTTGGGGGCAGCGGTAACACGTTTTGAACACAACACATATCATTTAAGTTTATATGTTGAACTTGTTAGCAAACAGCTGCTTATTTGCACATCAGGCTGTTGCATAGCAACATTATAAGTCATTTGGAGTCGTGTTTGTGTCGCCTGGTAAATGCAAGTCCAGTTTTCACTCTCTTTTAGCTCAGTTTTTAGTCTCCACCAGCTCCTGAGGGCAATATCGGACTCTTCTCTGTGTCTAACTGTGTCTGTTTGCTGTAAAAAAAAAAAAATTAAAAACGAGACAGCAAATTGTTTCTGAAAAGTTTCAGTTGCTTTCTTTCTTTTTTGATGTGTTCCTGCAGATTTTTCACTGCCTTCAACAATTATATTTTTCTTTTGCTCCTCCATTTCTGTTGGGCGTTGTATTGTCCCTTAACAACACATCGAAAAATAAAAAACCCTTTTGTATAAAGTATGCGTATAGACTATTTAAAGTGTACTTTATTTTGTCACTTTTCTACTGTAAACACACTAGATATTCCAAACTTGCTTAGAACTTGTATCCAGTATTGTTTTGGAGCACAGCATCTCGTTCAAATGGAGGTACAGTAAAGTTCGGTCTGTTTCTGTTTAAAAAAATGTACTGTATTGACTCCAATGTATAATAGTTTGTATTCCCTATGATGCAGGCCTGCTATGCTAGCAGCAGCTGAGAACTTCACAGTCCTCATCAAAAACAACATCAGGTTCCCTGCGTTCAATTATATCCGGTGAGACTGCTTGCTGATTGATGCTACTGAGGCTACAAACTGATTCTCTAGTGATGGTGTTTTGTTTTTTATGCAGTGGGCCACAGCTGTGTCTGTACAGCAACAAGTTCCACATAGGTCGAAATTCACAATGTATTATTTAACAGACAATGTTGAAGACTCTTTATTTTTGGCCTGTTGAAGGAGGCTCCAACATCAAATCATTTTGCTTCGTTAATTTCTGTTTTGCAAACAACTGTCATAGATTACAAGTAACTGTCACTTCTATCACAAATCAAATTTTTTCACTGTTTTATCATATCTTGTTTGCATGTGATCATGATGAAAACAAGTTAAGTATTTCCTGCCTTGTTTTATTTTTAAATAAGAAAAGCCAGGAAAACCTTTAGAGCATCACAGGACACTAAAACTCTCAGCTGAAAACAGACTAATGCCATCTCTAAAGGGTTTGCTGCTCTTTGTCACTTCACTCCAGTGTTGGAGAAACTCTGACTTTGTTTTGCTTAACAGAAGGAACATTCTGCCACAGATGAACGACGCCTACCTGAGGAGCTGTCATAGAGGAAACGACTCGCTGTGTCCCATTTTCAAACTGGGAGACATCATTCGAGAGGCTGGAGAAAAGTTCTCTGTAATTGCAGTAGAGGTGGAGTTGCATGTTCAAATGTTTCTCACAACATGGCTCTTATTTTCATCGTTCTGGCCATCACTGAACTATGATAACATTTTATAGACTTTCACTGCTGAAATCTCAGGATGCAGCAACATTGCGAGACCAGTTTTGCTACACTTTCTCTTTTTGGGGTTTCTCTTAGTGAGTCATTTGTTATCCTGGTCAATAGATCAAATAAAGTTGAAATGAAACAACCCTGACAACCAAAAAAAAGGAAGTGTTACCACAGCAAACGTTCTTCAGTCTGCATGGATGAAAGTCAGCATTATTAGTGTGCCAGTAGATGTTAAAAACAAATTTCGATCCCTAGAAGAATTCCTAATTTATTTTCCGGTAATTAATTAGCTGATGTCTAGTCACTGTAAAAATCATCCTCCTCCTCCTAGTGAAAATCAACTTGTTTCAACTCTTTTCTACAAAAAAAGCTATCTGGGTTTCCCCTTAGCTGACTGACTTTTGTCTTGAATCCATTTCCTCTGTTGACCACAGGGAGGAGTCATCGGCATCCTGATCAAATGGGACTGCAACCTGGACCGGCTCATGCATCGCTGCCTGCCCAAATACTCCTTCAGACGGCTGGATGAGAAAGAGAGCAACAAGACGCTCTACCCCGGTCTTAACTTCAGGTGAACAAGGGTCAAAGGTCAAGTTTACCTTGTCAGATACTGTGTGCACATTCCTCATCAGTCAGGCCATTGTAGGAGCTTTGGTTATTTTTAGACTGAAGTTGCCAAAAGCCAAAAGTCTGTGCTAATGTTTTTATGGCTGTGAATTCACATGAGAAAAATTAAGCCTTTAGTGTTTCCCCAGTTGTATTTTTGTTGGCATGGAAACATTTATACCATCAAGAGGAACCTCTGTATAATAAACAATGGCTGGTTTGAAGTCTGTTCTGTAACTGTGGTTGAGGAGGACAGTGACTGGCTGATATGTGATGCGTAATAAAAGGTCGGTATCAGTAAAAAAACAAAAAAAAACAAACAAAACTGTATTAATCTAGTTTATTTCCGATTTGGGGTAAAAAATAAAAAATAAAAAAAAAAATCCTTCATTAAAGGCTCTTTTGTTGCATGAAGTTGCAGTGCCTCTTTCCTCATCTGCTGTTCTCTGCTCAGGTATGCAAAGTACAACACAGTAAATGGAGTGGAGGTTCGAACGCTGTACAAAGCATTCGGGATCAGGTTTGATGTCATGGTGTTCGGACAGGTGGGTTGGTTTAGTCCCCCCCCCCCTTTCAGAGTTTTCATTCATTTCCTTTTGTTTGTCTTTTTTCTGCTACAACAACTGGGTGTGGGTGTAAGGGCAACAACTATTTTTTTGGAAGACGGAAAAACATAACTGAATCGACCACTGGCGTGATATATTGTACTTGTGGCCAGAAAGTCAGGCGAAAGATCTGCACACTGTCCCGATAATCAACTCGTAGAAAGCTTCATGTAACAGAGCAATGGTTTGGATCTAATAGAGATCTTCGTCAGGCATTGTCAAATATACAACCACTTGTTGTTCTGCCTAATTGTGAGTTTTTCTATGTCCTATAGTAGCTTCCTGTGGATGATTTTTCCTTTAAATTAGTCTGATTTTTGATGTATTGGATTATATGTTCTTGTATAAAATTTGTCTCTATCTTTAGAGGTATTCTTTGTCCCCTATATGGGAGTATCAGACATACTCATTCAGCTCTGCTCTGATTGGTCCAGTCTGAGAGTAGTTGGCTCTAAATGTGATGAATGTTTTTGTGGCTCTGTTGCATTAAATTAGCCGGGAGCTGATTTTCAGGACAGTGTGCAGATCCTCTGTCTGACATGTGTTTGTCATTGTGGGCACACCCACTGTAGTGCAAAACTACATCCCTGCTGCACAGGTGGTGGGATAACCATGTTTTCACCACTAGTGGGCAGTGCAAGGCAGAATTATTAGCCTTGATTACAGGTTTGGACTTAATATTTTTAAACTTAAAGTTTAGGACTTTTGAATTTGCAGTAGGCCTTTGTGAAATTATGTCATGGATATTGCTTAGTTTTGTCCATTTTTATTTTTTGTTGTGGTTGAGAGGAAATTGTCCAAGGTGCCATATCTTATCAATAAAATAACTTGTTACTGATGCATTATATCTACTAAATCATCACCTTGGGATTTCTATAATTGTGTCTATAACTCTGAAGGAAAGTGTGGGGAAATAAAGAGTGACAGTTAGTTCTGTTTTCCAGGCGGGAAGGTTCAGCTTCATCCAGCTCATCATCTACATCGGATCAACGCTGTCATACTACGCTCTGGTGAGAGACCACACAGTGTCCATTCATGCATTCACCCTCCCTTAGTAACGAACATAGTGGCAATCAGTGTTAGAGTCCAGAGTGGGACTTTCAATGGTGGCTGCATCTGGACAATCTGACTGAATTTCACTGTAGTGTAAAGATTAAAATAAAGAACAGAAAAGAAGTGAGATGAAATCCACTGTGGACTATGGCACATTATATTCTAAAGCAGTGGTGGAAAGTACATTTACTCAAGTACTGTACTTAACTACAAATGTGATGTACTTTATTATGTTTCATGCTAGTTTCTAGTTTTACTGTCACATGTCAGAATGAAATATTGTACTTTTTACTTCACTACATTTATCTGACAGCTTTAGTTGCTAGGTAGTTTATAAATAAAGATTTTTTTCACACAACATATGAAGAGTTTATAAAATATGATGTTTTGCTATAATTAAACTAACCAACAGTTTATACAAGTACAGCAGACAAGATTAGAGGACTAATCTATTAGTCAATTGACAGCTGTGACTGCATTTCTCACAATTTTCTGAATTTTTACAAACCAAACAATCAGTCAATTTTAATGGAGAAAATAATCTGCAGATTCATCCATAATGAAAGTAATTATTAGCACTCACAACTACATTTATAGAGGAGGAACATTCACTTAAGCAACATTTTTAATGCAGAGCTTTTACTCATAAGAGTTTACAGTGCAGTATCAGTACTTTCACTTCTTTTCAAGGATCTGAATACTCCTCCACTGTTGCCATACAGTGATGAATCATAAGAGTGAAACCACATTAGGAAATCATGGAGGAGGAAGTGTCTGGTGTAACTGACCAGTTTCAGTCTTTACGTTTCACTGCTGTCTGTGACACTTTAATACTGGTTGTTACTGTTAGCATAGACTCCAGTCTAGTTCCATACACTTCACTGAGAAACCACAGTATTAGACTGAGTTACAATTTAAAAACCTAAATAAATATTAAAGCGATTGTTTGACATTTTGGAAAAAAGATTTACACAGGAAGATCGATACACTCTATTATCTGTGTGTTTAGCTCAGTACAAATACTGGAAACCAGGGAGAAACGGCTAGCCCCAAATATGAGGGAGGCATCCTTCTCATCTAACTCTTGGCAAAAAGCCACATAGGTGTATTTCCCTAAATGTTGAACTATTCATTTTTTTCACTTTCATTTTTATTTTACAACAACAACAACAGGGGACATGTCAGAACGATGTACACACACGGTCAAATTAAATACAACAATGTGTCAGTCGAGACAAACACATACCTGTTTTAAAGCTGTAATATTTTATTACGCCTGGATGAGCATGAGAGAGAGAGACTTGCTGTGGGGGGGGGAACCCAAACTTTTCTTTGGACAGTGAAGCTGGAGTTTTTCTTGGAGGCTGGATCAGTTAGAGGAGCTTCAGCTCTGATTGGTGCTGCACAATACAATTGTCTCCTGAGCAGCAGTACAGAGAAAGCTGAACTCACCAAAGTCAGACAGCTTTTTTGGATTTCAATTTGATATGAAAACGGTGTCTCCACAACAGCTGACAGTGACCTTTGCACCACTACCACCATCACACAACGAGCTGTTACATTAAATCTGAAGTCAGAAATCTCAAATATTAAACGCTTATTTCTTAAGTGCAAATATTCTGCCCTGATTTAATCAGTTTATTTTAATAAAATAAAGTCATGTTTGGTGTTAAATCACAGGTATGTTGACACATCTGTATCGCTGATTGGTAATGCAGGTGATGTGAAGCAGTTATGAGTGTTGTAGATGAGGTGTGAGCTCCTGACTGACGGCCTCACGTGATACTCTGCATGTCTTTTTCCTTCAGACAACCATGTTTATCGACTGGCTGATTGGAACCAGCTGTTACTCGGCAGAGGTCGGACAAGACTACTCGGAGAGGAAAGTGGAGTCAGTCCAAGACAAACAGAAGGTGATGAATGGTTTGATAAGACTGACGATGTGATATTGTATATTCTGTAGCTGTTTAAAACAAAACATTTAATACAATTGAAACACTTTCTCATGCTGAAATCAGCTAGTTTATGATCATTCTGAATATCCTGATGTGACTATGTTGCAGTGCATCCTCTGTGTGTCCTACGTTGATGAGGACAACATTCGACTGGTGAAGAGATCACAGAAGAAAAGTTTACAAGACCTCAAACCAACGTCTGTTAAGCCACGCAAGGTAAACCTGCTGCAGAGAGGCTAGATCAGAGAATTCACATGCAGAAACGGTCAGTTTTTTACTTATAAAACACAATGAAATTAAGACCTAAAATCTCTCTTACTTCAAATAAATTGAATGTTTCTAGGTTGAAACATCAACGGGATTGATGAGATTTATTTGAAACCAAATATTTTAGCATTATTTTAGACTTGCAGATTCAGCATTAAGCTTTTCTAGACATTACATTAAAATAGAGTTGGGTGATTATGGCCAATAAACATTTCGCAATATACTGTATATAATATGCACAATGATGCAGCCTATCAACATTGTGCATATTATATTTACTGGCTGAGCTTTCCCCTTTTAAAGAAGGTGGCTTTGAAGGTCTTTCCTGGTGTGTGAGGGGTAGTTAAGTTACTTTAGTCAGCTATAATGTGTGTAGATAAGCTCAGGATGCAGTTACTGAAAGGCCATGTGTTTGCTGCCACAGAAAATAAATTTAAAAAGTATCTGTGTGTACGTTACAACGGCATCTTCTACTCTTCACAGCAGAGTTGATCCAGACTGTGAAAAGCTAGCTAGTTAGCAGCTAAAAGTCAGGCTAAAGTCAGTTAAAATATCCTAAAACCAGAGGTCTCCCAAACATGCCTTGGAGTTTTAGAGCTGTAAACCACAGTAGAGAAATTACAGCGATCAGATGATTGATCACGTTTTCTCACAGCGAAGAAATCAGTGACCCATAGCTGCTAGCTAATTTGCTTTTCATCGTTTTTACATACAAGACCAGCGAAATAGTGAAATCTTAAATATAACTATATGGTCATCTGCTGTATCACACATAATTAATATTCTAATAAATCAAATATATTTGACATATATCCCCCAGCCCTACATTTGAAGTGAATTATGCTGCTGGGCTGTTTTTGTCTGAATGCAAAGCAAAAACGCATAAAAACAGAAAACATAATTTTTTACTTTGAATGGCCAAAGAGCAGTTTTTGAGTGTCAGTTTGGATTATTGTTGTATTACTTTGGCCAATATTAAAAATGAGTGAGTAATAGGTTTTGTAATTTAGCTGAATCATTTTAAAACATGCACAATTTATTTTTTTTTTTTGGCTCAATCTTGCCATTGACTTCAGTGTTATATTCTTGTCCTGATAGGTGGACACAGGACACCTGAGAGCCGTTCTCTCTCTGCTACAACCGGGTGAAGGCCTGGATCATGACTCTCAGCCTCCCCTTCATCATAAACCCGGTCCGAACAACAACGACCCACATCGTCCAGCCTGGTGTAAGTGCGACTGCTGCATTCCCTCCTCTCTCCCTCAGGAGGAGCTGTGCTGCCGGCAGAGCAGCGGTGCCTGCATCACCTCGTCTCCTCTGTTTGAGCAGCTTGTGTTACGTCGCTCCTTGCTAGAGGCCGTCCTTCTGTATCAGGACCCTCTGTCTCCACCCGCTGATAAAGGCCAGACTGCTGCCCTGCGTCACTGCGCCTACAGACAGTACATCAGCTGGAGGTTTGGGGTCCCACCTAAGGACACCCACCCTGCTATCCCCAGCTGCTGCGTGTGGAGAATCAGGGAGGCATACCCGAGCCCGCACAGAGAGTACAGCGGCTTCAGACCAGGCCTCCATATCCACCTGGCGTCCATGCAAGCCTGTGCTAATGGAGAGCTGTGAGGAGCATTTTCATTACAGAGCAAGGATTTCCCCACTATCTGACCTACTAATAGCGTTCTTATGTTAGATTTGCCTTACAAAGCCAAAAATGCAATTTACTTTACTCAACTGTGCAGCAAATAAAAATAAATCAGTTTTTGTCAGCTTGCATTCGGTCCGAAGGGGAAAAACCTCCCTGGCCAATAAATAACTGCATTTTCTAAGATTATCTGTGAAGTCATTTGGCTGCTTAGTAAAAATTTCTATGAAGCAATTTTTCTTAGTTTCACTCCCTTTAAGCAGCTTTTTAAACTTTTTATAGGGCAGAAAAATATCATTTTTAACTTCACTCAACATGCTCAGAAAAAAGAATGTGTTTACATTCGTAATCTCATATGGAAAGATTAAGAGGTTGGTTCCTACATAGGGTGACCAGATGAGAATGGGTAAAATTTGGGACGGGGGGGGCGGCTACCAGTACATTGAGTGTGAACAATGAACATTAACGCACGTGAAAATCTGTATACTATACAAACAAGGTACACTGTATTGATCAGTGAACTTGGTGTTGGTGGGTGTTCTTTTTTACTTTGGACAGGGCCAGTCTAGCTGTTTACCCCTGCTTCCAGTCTATGCTGAGCTATGCTAACTACATCTGGGCCACTTCCAGTCCTGACAAAACATAGCAAAACGAGATGCCAGCAGTCTGATCCTTTCTGCACATGGGCAAAAGTGGTGAATCAAAGGAAGTTACTGCAAATGTGCCTGTTCAAAATACTCAAACCACATCTCTCAAATCAAGTTTACAAAATGGGTTTTAATCATTGTAAATCTAATAGTTCACTGTTATGTCATAGGGGAAACCTTGTTGGACAGTAGTAGTAATTTGCAATTTCTAACTGACTGTGGGAGGTATGGGGAATTGCTTAAAATATGAAATTAGGAAATTTACAATTAAATTTAGCAAGGAGTTAGCCAAGATCAAAAATAGAGAATTTAATAAACGGACACAGCTGAGAGTTGTTAAAAATCAGGGGGGTGGACAGACATCCGTTTCCAGTCTTAATGCTAAGCTGACCGGCTGCTGGCTGTAGCTTCATATTTACTGTACAGGCATAAGAGTGGCATTGATCTTCTGATTTCAGAATTAATGAATTTCCCAAAATGTTGATCTTTTCCTTTTGATGCTCAGACGCGAGATTGATACCAATCTTTTGATTTCACTCTTGACAATAAAAGAAAATAAACCTACCTACCGAAACATGTAGAACTAAACCCTTTCTGTGTTTAGTGGGTCTGAAAGTACTATTGAAGCTCCAGTTTCAGGGATTAGAGCGGGATGTAAAGTCAGTTTCAGAGATGATGAGCAACTGCTCTGGCTGAGAGAAGGGGAAAATACCTCTAATGGTCCAAAATAAGTACCTGTGGCTCCAGACAATGATAAGAAGCTTCATTTATCATAAGGCAGGAGTAGGAGGTCATACAGGAACCATAATCCCTGCTGTTTATGAAAGCATTCACTTTGTGTTACAACACACACACACAACCATCTAAACATGTTTTGTTGCCAAAATCACACAATACATATTTGCAGTCCTCCATAACACAGAATGTAAAAAGTGACCCTGTTTTTAAGATAGTCTACCATCCAGATAACAATGCTGTTCTGCTGGTTGGCCTTTTTTACAGCTTGGATTAAAACTTCAGTCGCATCCTCAGCACAGTTTATTGTGGAGTCGCACAAGGCTCCATTTTAGGCCCAGTTCTGTTTTCAGTTTACTTCCTACCAAAAGACCACATCACCCAATCACTGAACCACAATCAGGCGCATGTCTTGCTCAAGGACGTTTCAACATGTACTGTCGTCTACATCCGGGGATCAACCTCCCCACCTGCTATTAGTGGATAACCTACCTGCTGAACAACAGCCAGTGATGGCCAGTGGGGTATAGACATGAAGGGTTCAGCAGTAGCAGTAGTAGTAACAGCCATAGCTGTGTGATTTTTGGGATGTCAATGTTGGTTACTGTGGTGCTGAAATATGTCAACCACTATTGGATGTATTGCCCTTTTGAGGTTGACATTGGTGGTTTTGAGTAAAATATCTCAACTAGTGGATTGCCATGAAATTTGGTTTAGACATTCATGATCCCATCATTATGAATTCTCAGGATTCATCTAGCGCCATCATCAGAAAATCTTAATGTGGCCAATACTTTGGTTTATGACCACATACCTGCAAAATGAATGATAGTCCCATTAGCCTCTACCGCACATTGTATTTAGTGGTAAGTGTTAGCATGCCAACACATTAATCTAAGATGGTGAACTTTTACGTACTTTGTATACTGTTGGGTTGTAAGCTATTAATGAATCTTATTTCATAAGCTGATCATAGATACATCTTTAAAATAGTTGCCAGATAAATGAGGTGGAGAAAAAAATTGATTTTCTTCTGAAATGTAGAGGACAGTAGAATAAATGGAAAGTAGCCTACTTAAACAACCAACAATACATGTCTGAATATGATCAAATCTGCCGCTGGTTGGTGTAGCGTGGCCTTTGCTGCAGCTCAACGTTTGATTGATGCAAACAAAATAAATGTATTTCACGTAAAAATCTAGTTCAGCTTTAACAAACAGGCTTTACACAGAGCAACACTTCCTCTGTCAGATCTAGTACAATAGCAGCCTGAGTTGTATTAGCTGTTTGCACCCCAGGCCATTCATCAGGTGGCCTATTTGACATTTACGAGCACTTTCTACCCTTCGCTTTCCCAACTCTGGCTCCAGACCTCAACCATTGTTTTTATAAATGGTCCATTTGAACAAAAATAAGGGCTCTTTGTTAAACAACTCCAGGCCTGAAATAGCTCCTGATGACTTGTTTCAGCAGCAGGCATCCCTGTTTCCTCCCATAACTCATCCACTGACCCCTCACTGCTGCTTTGTTCACTGGAGGTTGAACAGGACCCACTGGTGGCTAATCTGTGAGCATGTGTCTTTTTGATTTCATTTTATTTTCAAAATGGCCTGTAATGACCTATTACTGTACAGGGGGGCTGGTTTCCACTAAATTAGATTGGCCTATATCCTCCATGAAGAAATGTATTTTAATAATGTGATGTGTGTGTTTTCTTTCCATGTCCACCAGACAGCTAAATATAAATAAATTACTGCTGTTGTTTCTAATTCTAATTGCTGACTGTGTTGACCCGCAGACTGTGAATGGATGCATGTGAAGTGTTAGTGGGGGGATGAAAGCCATTGTGGATGGATTATCAAGTGGAAGTGGAGGTGGAAGGATGATCTGACGCAGCGGCAGATTGGTTAATGGATGGATGGAGGATGAACGCATATACGGTAGACAGATTAAACGGATGGATGGATACATCAGTCAGTGCAGCTACATGACAATAAAAGTGTGTATTGTCTCTGCTGGACTAATCTTGTTTACCACAAAAAAACACATGTGCCTCATAGTCGAACAGTAGTTGCATTGTCTGTACTGTCGAGGAGGTTGCTCTGCACCGGTGGAGGTTTCAGTCACGCCAACATTTCTCTGAGGCAAAAGAATCTCATTGGTTGAGTTTAAAGGGGTGGATTAGTTTTTCCACCTAATGTGGGCTTCAGATGGAACTTTCATTACATTTTTGAAGTGGGCTACTTGTTATTTATTTGACAGCAATAGTTACTAGTTACTTTTTAAATTAATATTTTATATAAAACACATATGAAATGCTTGTGAAAAACAACACATAATCATAGATTAAATCAATGTTTCCCAATATTTCTGACTTACATACAATCTGTGTTGTGGCTTATTGCCATCTTTGTTAGCAGTTCCAGAGGGAAGTTTACTCTAAACTTCACACATGGTTTCATAAAAATAAAAAAAACTTTGCGGTTCAAGAGGTTAATTATCTAATAGTTCACAACAAAGCATAAAATTAAATACACATTTGTGTATTAGAACTTTGAGTTTTCTCTTTCCTCCCCCATTAATTGTCTCAAGAGTGAACAATTTCTTTTACCTTTGATACTTTAAATTTACATATTGTTGGTGATAATTTTGTGCTTCTACTTAAGTAGGATTTAAAATGCAGGACTTTTACTTGTATATTTGCATTTTTATCATTGTACTTACTAATTAAAGTGTCTGAATACCTCTTCCACCACTGATAAGGGAATGTTTCTGTCACAACATGATGCACTGTTGTTCATTTATCTTCCTCACAATCTCGCTGTTTTCATAACAGATGAAATATGACATTACAGATGAAAAATAATGGCAACATACCATCCATCCCCTTTGGCCTTTCGAGGAAATTTTTTTTACAGTTTCCCCTCTTAGAGTCAAAGTCAATACACATCACCCCCATGAACACAATAACAGTATGTTCTTACTGTATAAGCGTTAGTGGTTCAGTGAAAATATAAAGAGAGCCAAAACGTATTTTCACTCAATTTATTCTGTACCCAACAAGTTGGTTTCGAGTAAAACAGGAGGCTGGAGAAGTGACACTGAATTCTTTCTAACATACAGTATGTATCTTTATAGAGACAGATTCATCAATATAGTGCAAATAATGGGATATGTGGAGCTCAATATATATTAATTAAAGATTGGATCATAAAACATGATGAAGATAATGATGTAAAGTCAGTGTGGAGTCGCACATCACTTCTCTGTAGCTATGTTTGCTCAGAGATTTACTGGACTGAGTAAAAACAGGCAATAGGCAGTTTGTTCCCTGCAGTGTTTTTGGGACATGAGTTCAGCCTGAGGCCAGCAGAGTATACATACACCACAGACAGAAAACTGATTGCTAGCTTTCAGGATGATATTTTATTCAACAACTTTCACAAGACTAGCAGCGTATCTCAAATCCACAATACAAACAAATTATTTTTTTTATTTCAATATTTTGATTGGCTTCCCCCCCCACCTTTTTTGAGTGTCAGTGTAGACAGACAGGGAACGTGGGGAAAAAGAGGGCTACAACAAGGCTTACAAAAATATTGTAAATATGAAGAACATGAGTATTAAATATTAGGAAAGATGTGCTATATCTTTGTGAAGTTAAAACTAGTAGTGACATTTAAAAGTTGCAGTTTGACTGACGTCCGATGTAGAGCGTATAGGATCATTTAATTTTTTTTTATGTAGTATTGTACTTGAGTGTGTCAGTATAATGCTATTTATTACTACTATTTTTATATTACTTACACTATATTTATTTGACAGCTTTAGATACTAGTTACCTTGCACATGTCGATCATAAAAAAAAAAACATACATCAACAAACAAATGATATATTATTATAAGTTAAGCTACCCTACAGTATATAAAGTAATTAAAATGATCCCCTCCTTTATCAGCTGCAACATTAAAGTGATGTATCAATAATTTTAATCCAATAATATAATATATATGACTCTGAAATGGCCCATTCTGAAATCCTTAATACTTTTACTTTTGGTACTTTAAGCATATTTTGATGCAAATGCTACATTTGCCAAACCATACACACCGATGGGGGCAATATGACGATTTGAGATGGAGCTTGTGATCTAATGCGTCTGATGGGGGTCATTCCTATGTTCCCAGGGTCCTATGTCCCTTTAGAATGGGAACATGACAAAGTGTTACGGTTTGTGGTGTGGAGAAGGTTGGTGGACCCAAATGCAGGATGCAGAGCAGAGCAGGTACAGTTCAAAAAGGTTTACTGTGGCAAACAAAAGGCGAGCACACTTACTGGCAGAGTGGCTGAGATACATCCAAAGAATAAACACTCCAAATGAAACAGGTAATCCAAATGGGTACAGATCCAAGACAGACAGGGCAGAGATGAGACTAGCACAAAGCTACACATGACTGGACAAGGGCTGAACAGAAACACCACACATACTGTACAGGTGCTGGTCATATAATTAGAATATCATCAAAAAGTTGATTTATTTCAGTAATTCCATTCAAAAAGTGAAACTTGTATAATGTATACATTCATTCCACACAGACTGATATATTTCAAGTTTTCATTCCTTTTAATTTTCATGATTATAACTGACAACTAATGAAAACCCCCAAATCAGTATCTCAGAAAATTTGAATATTGTGAAAAGGTTCAATATTGAAGACACCTGGTGCCACATTCTAATCAGCTAATTAACTCAAAACACCTGCAAAGGCCTTTAAATGGTCTCTCAGTCTAGTTCTGTAGGCTACACAATCATGGGGAAGACTGCTGACTTGACAGCT